TGTATGTAAATATTGATCAAACGAACTCGAATAATAATTTGTGGACTCTTCAACTCTAAGCTTGGTTTACTTTTATAAATGTTGTTAGCATTCAATATAATTGTTTAGTTATGTTTAACTCATTGTAAACTGGGTATATTTTCTCTGAATGTCTATTTGTGTAGACATAAATAAACAGTCCTCTGTTTTAATATTTACGTTAGACGTTGTTCAATTGTCCCGTTTATTCATATTAACGCTGATATTTGTTTTCTTTTCTCTCTCTCTTTCTTATACGCTGACACCTTTCCGTGTATATGTGCCTGTATTTATCCACATCATTAAAGACCAACTGCAGTCGACGCTTATGTGTTTGCATTTATGTGGCCTTTATTAATGTATGAATCACAGCATGGTGATTCTAATTGGTGGGATATCGACTACAGCTCATCATCATCGTTATCATCCACTTGTTTACAATCAGGTTCACATCATTTAATCACACATCTATTACAATGTCCTAATCTAATTAGATTTTTTAAGAATATCTCGTCGAAATACTTTCAGAAATATACAAAATGTTTTAGAAAAGGTATGATCTATATCCCCCTTTGATTAATTTCAATTAAACAATGAGATGGATGAAGGTTATCAGTGTTTATGTGATACATTTTGTACAATACATATCAAATAATCTTATGAAAAGCGAACTAGACAAGTTAAAAGGTAATTGGGAATAAAGATGATGATAGTAACGAAAGAACACTAACTGAAAATCACGGTGGATAATGAACCGGTAATAATAGGGTATGTTCTTGAAGAGTATACGAGCGATCAGATTGCTGGAAATGTATTTCCCAAATGTATTGCATAATTCTTATATAACCTTCATCTTCTCATTGCATTGGAAAAGTTTGCATCCCATTGTTTTTGATTGTTAATTTCCCAATGTCAGTTATGATTTTATACCATTTTATATGATGAAATGCCTTGAAAGGTAACTGAATCTATGTGTTATGACTATGTAATAAATCAGTCTAGAACACATTGAAATAACAGATTGAACAGATTATTTGTTCACATGAAATTAGTGCACGTATAATGAAAGACAGAGCGGCTTATGACAATCTGGGCCATCCTTGGCGCCTTCATGATGTCAGTTTAGCTGTAAAAGGTCGGATCTGCAACGCGTCGGTGAGAGCAGTTTTGATCCATGCTTTTGAAACCTGGCCTCTCCGAGTTGAGGATGTTATACGACTCTCTGGATTCGATCACCGCTGTCTCCGAAGGCAAACTAAATATGGTACCTGAGTGGGTCATCGAAAAAGTATGGATAAGAAAAATGTGATCAAGATTATCTCTTTCAGTTAAAAGAAACTCTTTCGTATTTTTGAGAATGTGAAGGAGAACCGTAACAGAATAGTCATTGACTTCTTTTCGTATCTACGTCTAACAATATATCAAAGCATTAATTTGTACAATTTTGGGAACTCAGAACAGTAATTGTGACGGACTGATAAAAATGCTTTTTAACACATTTACCAGGTAAAGTTTCGTGTAAATCGCTTTGAATCGTACTCTGGTTGCCAGGCTCCACGAAATTATCACGATCGAACACATCAGAGTAGGTAGAACGAGTTTTGAAACTGGGACTTAGTGCATGTACTCATTCAATTAAACTGTCAGTATATAACATGTTTTGAATTGATCTACACGTTTTTTTCTCATCATTTTATCATCATACAGAAAAATCTTCTGTTATCGATAAGTGAATTGCATTTCATCCAATTCGTGATTGTATTCTTTGGGTACTTAAATAGTTGGTTTGCTTCAAACTGATGTTTATAATTGGAATAATATGCGGATATTACAAACGCTTCACGGATCTCGACCAACCTGATTGTCATCCATAGTCTTTTTCATTGTTTATTGTTTCATAATATTTGAATCCTGTGTACTATCTCACATTTCTCTTTTCAAATATCCTTCATCTTCTTGAAAATCACCATGAATCTATGATCAATTCACACAATTTTTCATCCGTTCTTTTTTCAATTCATGATTCTGTATGATTTCGCATTTTTCTGATTGTATATGTAAATATTACTATTTCCAGTTTCTTTTGTGTTCCCGTGTCATCTTGGCTATTCTCTTTGTTATTGTGTTAATACAAAAGCTTTCGTTCATATATTTTGATATCTGAAGTGATGATAATATGTTCTCTGAACTATTTCAGTTTAATTACTAAAAGAAGTTGACTGTAAAGATGTCCAGAATACAAATTAATGAAAGCTCTATCTCAGAGAACACATTAAAGCGTTGTCTTTGACTGATTATACTGCATTTCTCAAGAGCTTCCTCTCTATCATTACCTTATATTTGTTTTGTCACGACACATACATTGTTATTTCCCTTTTTAATGCCGGGTATAATCATTAGCAGTAGTAAAAATTTACAAGAGATGAAACGAATGTGCGGCAGTTTATATTACTTTAGTGCACTTTTGTAAATATAGATCTTTATGATTTTTACAACATTTGATTACTCTTAATTTACTGGGTTGATATTGTGGTATAACAATGTGGGCCGATGCACACCTTCATAGACTACTTCTACTTTGATTTTTGCTGACTATTTACCCAGTGTTTTTTACAAAGTAAATTAGCTGAAAGTTTGTTAATGCATCAGGTATTTCCAGTAGTTTGCTTGTTGCTTATTGGTTGTTTTTAAATCGTTGATCAGTCGTGTAGATTAGTCTAACATTGAAAAATGCCGAAATCATATTTATTGTCAAAAGATGATTTATGCAATTCGACCATACAATGGATGAATATTTGGAGAGATCTGACCATGAGTTTGGAGAAAACACTTGGTTTCTGCTAGTTTGCGTCAACTGTGATGTAAACAGTGGGTCCGCTGGCATTTCAATGATCTAGTATGCTGCCTATCAACCTACTTGGTACTAATCTATGATTATCAAAAATAACCTAATGAAGTAAAAAAACTAGTGACCAACCTGAAGGTTAAAATCCATGTAGCGTTCTCTAACAACTGCTTTAAATCCCTTAATGCCTCAACGTAGTGCACGTGGTGTTCAGTCAATTAGACTAGTGACCACATTTCAACTTAATCGATAAGGTTAAATCAGCACGAATTGATTGGATAAACATGAAACCAGTCACCAACCAGTCCTACCGAAAGTCATTATTAATACTTCTGACCGCAAATATGAGAGATGCCGGCTCGAATCTCACGTGGGTCACTGTCTCAAAATTACTAGATATGCTTTTCTGATGAGTACTAGCTAGAAAGTTATATAGTTCTCGCAGGCTATCCAACAGACATTGATCGACAGAATCCATATATATTGTGGATACACAAAGTCGAACGTCAATAATATAGAGAAACTGGATATATATATATATATATATATATATATATATACATCCGTAAATAATGGGCAAGCATAATTTAATATTGTTGTCCAAAATGATGAGGAATAAACTCAATGTTACGGAAGAGAAAATAACAATGATATCTGGGTTATTTTCTGTGTACATAAGTAATGTATATAACAACAAAATGAATGGTAATTAAGGAAGACGTCACTTTGGTAATGCTGAAAAGCAAATTATTGAATGCAATTTACCGTAAAAAATATATTCACGATATCGGTTTTATAGATTCTATGCATTAAAAAATGTACAACGTGTAAGGATGAGTTTCAATGAAAGAAATTGGAGAAAGATCAAGTATGAATTGAGTAAGTTGTGTGTGTATGTGTTTCTGGAATTAAAAATTCAACTGAAGTCATAACAATACGAATAGTCTGGACAGAAGCAAAGAAGAGCATATATATATATATATATATATATATATATATATATATATATATTAAACGAAGAATGGCACACTTGGGCTGGAGATTCGATGATAGATTTAAAATTAGTGGGGACAGGTTATAAAGAGTTACGACGCCCTCTAGGAATCAGTATTGAGAAGTTTGAGTGGAAAACTGAATAATGCGGGATCGAATTTCACATGGACCACTTTCCTGAAAATACCAGATCTAGGTTCATAGTTCTCTTCCTTCTGAGTGTTTTCAGTCCTGTTCTGAGCAACCACTGACCCATTTTCATATTTTGGTTGTTACTGTTTAGACAATTGTTACTGACATCGTGGCAATATTGTACCAAAGAAAGAACTTCCTGTGGCTGGTGAAAAAAGGATCGCTGAGTCCCTGTTTGCTCTTCAGTATTGCTGTGTAGATAAAAATAGTTAGCAATACTGTGCAAAGGTTACAACTGTGACAGCGTCTAAGTCTGTCTCTTTCAGCAGTGATAAAGTGAAGTCAAGATAACTCTGTAGTCTGGACGGTCTCATCGCCTGCTTCTGCCAACACTGTACTTTCGCTATACTGAAACCCTTACCTCCGTCTTACGACTGTTTTAACTTGGGCGCCACCTTCATCAAAATACAGTTTTCAAACAATCTTGTGAGTAGCGTCTACTACAACGCGACTGTTAGTCGGCAAACATCTAAATGATGTTAAGGGTGAAATATTGTGGTCTAGATCGACAGTAGTACAGTAATCTTTGTCACTATAATAACAGGCCTAATCTCAATGCGGTAGTTTATTCATGATGTGACTACCTAATTCATAAGATGTTATGTGGAAGTCACATCATTGTCTATACTGCCTCATCCTATTGCTAAATCAGCAATACGATGTTTAGCGATTCTAAATAACACACTTGGACAGGAGATTCGATCATAGATTTAAAGTAAGTAGGGACAGGTTATACAGAATTACGACGCTCAATGGGAATCAGCAGTAACAACTCTGACTGGAAATCTGATTAATGCGGGCTCGAATTTCACATGGACCACTTTCCTGAAAATACCAGATACTCAGATAGCAAGTTACCTAGGTTCATAGTTCCCTGCGTGCTATCCGATAAACTTTAAACAATAAAATCCATATTATGGAGACACTTTACATTGAGAAACTGGATATATATGCACATTTATATATAAGTAAATAGTGGGCAAGCATAATTTATTACTGTCGTACAAAATGACAAAGAGAGAATTGCATCAGTATCAGGGTTATTTCCTGTGTACATATGCAATCGTTATACATATAGATATACAACGAGGAAGGTATTATAATTGAGGAAAACGGAGACATAAAATGTCACTTTGGTAATGCCTAAAAGCAAACTATTGAGTGCAGTTTGCTGTAGAAGATATGTGTACGATATTAATTTGATATATTCTATGCACTAAAAAATGTACAAGGTGTGGTGATGAGTTCCAATGAAAGAAATTGGAAAAAGGCAAGTGTGAATTGAGTACGTTGTGTGTGTGTGTATGTGTATTCACAAAAAATAAAATTCAACTGAACTCATCTTAATACGAATCAACTGGACAGAAGTATAGAGAAGCAAATAAGAGCGTATGTATATAGACATATATAACGTGAAGGATTTGTAGCTCAGTTGAAATGGATGGTTCAATTGCAAAGAATATTCAGAGCTTCATAATTAACCTAACTAGTTTTGAGAAGACGACATCATCGGAAAGGAATACGTCCATACTCATTGGTATACATATGAATGAAAGTGATGTTAATTTAAACAAAATAAAATATTGATAGAAACATTCTTTTACAGTCGGGAAAGCAAAAAATATCAAGTCAAGAACATACTCAGGATTTATATATAACGAGAGAGAGAGGGAGTGAGTGTGTCGAAAAGTGTATTGTTGGAAGACAGTTATAGTTCAGTGAAAGATTTCTCAATCTCTTTAAGAATATAACGAAATAAGTATTATAAATGATCTGGATCATCGAAAGAGGTATATGTGGATGATTTGTTAAAGATTATAATTGTCAATAGGTTTTGTGTTTGAACAGATAAATGAAATTCATCTACATTTGGATGGTACCATTTTCTGGGTTTCATTTCAGAATGCAGCTTAAGAAAAATCAAACTAAGAGTAGAACATAAGTGGAGTAATCCGGATGTGAAATGCACTCGAACAGGATGAGCAAACATAGAAAAAACGAGAGAGAAATCATTTTATTCATATCATTATTCTGTGTAGTGAACTGAATAGTTTTCGAATTAATCACATCAGAAGATTGTTGACTTTTCACAGTTTACACCACTAACTGATTTTAGCCAATCATTGACGACCTGCGAATGTCTGTGAAGACAAATGCTTCGTCCTAATAAACAATACCTTTGAAATACACTAACTCAGATTGAACACAGGGTTCTCGAGTTTTACTGTGAAGGTATAGATATCCTCTATTTATTTTCAGCGTTTACAGGTGATGTATAACGTGAAAGTCACTATAATAAATTTCTGAAGAGATAAAGAAGCTACTGGATTCCTGGTTTCAAGATAGTAACACACACTGAATTATCACCATGATATTCGAAAACACATTGCTGAATAAAAGCTAATAACGAGATTTAGCTACTGAATGTTCACATTCCTTGGAAGATAACTTCAATGGAATACAAAAAGATCACTGAATACTTTAAGCTAAACAGTGTCACGTATTGCAAGCAAAAAAACTGATAAACTGTACAACACATTTGTAGAGAAACAAACTACCCATATTTATCAATGTCATCCAAAACTCATTAATTGAATATTCACAGTGAAAAGTCGGAAAATGTTTCCATTGAATAGAAGCTCGTTTGAAGAAAACCGTGATACATTGAAGTTGTGAATAAAGAAATGAAGGAGTGATTGTCATTGTAAATCATTTACAGATTGAATGTTTCCATTAAATATCTTAGATGTATACAAGAATTCTCATTGTCTTCTCTTCTTTTCTCTTAACCATAAATTAATTATTCAGAATCATCAGAACAACTAGGCAAATTCCAATCATCCATTTCACCGATTAAACGTATCGGTGCTTTTATATTGGATAGAGATGATGGTGTTGGTGGTAATGCCATACTACTACGTCGATGTTGACGTAAACGTTCACTATTGACAAGATTTCCGTAATCCATGAAGTGCTGTTGTTGTTGCATCTATTGTTATAATAAAAAATATAAAAAGAATAGGAGTTAAAGTGTCCATTTATTAATTAAAACGTAAAACTTAAAAAAGTACGGAAAGTTCATGCATCAGGTAGATGAAAAGAGCCGAAATTACAGCTTATACTAAACGTTACAAGGCTATTCCAATCAACTATATCAGTTGTCGATGAAAATAAAGTATTCACTTTTCGAGATGTTGCCTACTTGCGACTGAAATGGTTTAATTCTGAGACTTTCATTGTCTTCCTTGCTAAAATCATCGGGATAGAATTTGGTTAATTTTGATGATTACGGCGCTTATATTGAAGATAATTTAGGATGTTCGTTCTAATATAATACAGGATGCGAGTAAGGCAAATAAAACCTGAAGACCAAAAGACCACAACAATTCAACATTAATAACCCAAACACAAAAGAATAAGTGAATGCAAGACTTTTAATTAATTTCTTCTAAGTGAATTATATTTGAAGATTAAACATCCTCCTGGTAAACTTAAGAAAAGTTAATCGACAAGATGTTTTCTACAAGTGACCAATAATGAATTAATCTGTCAACAAATAATTCGTGTACGGTTTATTGTTTATAAATGTGTACTGTTATTGAAATGGCATATTGATATTCATCACTTCCCTTACTAACTTGATATGTGACCCTGTGGTTATTGAGCTTTGGACTCAGTTTCAATATGCTTACTGATTATTGTGTGACATGAATTTCAGACTGTTATGGTAGTTTAAAGTCTTCCTACAAACCAGCCCAACTAAATACTCAAATAAAGTACTAAGAGAGAAAAGGAAGTTTATTGATAGTACAGCATCGAAGACGTATGTATACTCATTTTTACATTTATGACCCGTAGAACATTAAGGCTCTAATGATGTTTGTTTTCTTCCTTAAAAATGCGAGCCGATTCTAAGCCAGTCACACGCATTCATCGTTTGGCAAGTGTCTAATTAGCTCAATGTATAACGAATATTAAAAAATTGTCTGCTTTTGTCCTTGTTTCTCTTTGACGTTTTCCCAGTCAGGTCTTTGTCTATAGTTGTATCCACAGAGATCACTGTAAATGAAAATATATTGTGACATTCAACAACTGTCTTGTATGTATATAGACAGATGGAAAAGCAGTTCACCTTACTCATTGTCGCATTTTTCTTAGTTGTTGTAATTTGTAAATATTTCTCGACATTTATCCCCTTGTCATTGTGTACTTTGAATGGGATATAATAATTGCGAGAATGTTTACGGCTTTTGGGCAATATTATGCAGACTTAACAATTTAAATTTTATTTCTCTCCACCATCATCTCAAAATGAAGCATCACATTTGATTTGAAAATACTTGACAAGTTGAAAAAAATGCCAAGGAAGAAGGAAATCAAACAGCTACCATGAGAAAGCACACTTCTAACAGTGCAAAACACAATTGGATTATAGATGGCAGACAAACAAAATTCATTCAGCTTAATGTATACTATGCTTTTTACAGAATATTCCAGACTTGAAAATACACAAATATTCATTAAACTACTTACTAATTTATCAAGTAACACAATGTGCATATAAAAAGAAAACATTGTTTTGCTGACCTACCATTGTTGTCGTTGCTACCATAGGGGTTGGTAAATTAGTTCTAGGCAAATCCACTGTTTCATATAATGAATCGATTGAACCAAAATTTCTGTTACTACTATTATTATTGTTAGTAGTAGTGAAATTATTGGTGTGGTTTTTATTAAAATGTTGCATACGATTATTATTATTATTATTATTATTATTATTATTATTATTATTATTATTATTATTAGACCATAAAGGTGGCAATGGTGGATGAGATTTATATAATAATTGATGATTAGAATTTCTGTTTTCCTCTTCTTGTAACGATGATTCCATTGAAATTTCTTGATAATTGACATTACGATTCAAATCATAATAATGATTGCTGATCATTGCATCAGATAATGGTCGTGAATCAGAATCACCTAAGAGAATATTTTTTTAGAAAAAAAGAGTAGAGAAGAAAATAATCAAGAAGAATAATAAATAGCATTCAAAGTATACGTTGGAGAGATCCAGCCTATTCCTCGATAAAAGCTTAACGAGGCCTTGTGAACACTGGGAAACGTGTTTATCCAATCAGCATTCAATAGCAGTATCTCAGAATCATCTAACTGATGAAGTGATCCAAAAATGTATAGACAACTGTATTGTCGAACGTTGAATACAAATAATTGTGTACAACCTATGAGTGTTATTAGGTTCCATGTGAAAACCGCAGATTGAAAAATACAGCATTTGTAAATGTTCCTTGAGTTGTCCAATACCAACTGCATTATTCATTTGATTCTGTTGATATTTTGATTATTCTCAGATTTGCTTTTCGTTCTCTTCAATTCAGTCTTATTTAGTCACGCATTACACTTCTGACTGAGATCACATACTACTTATATCTCCCAACATAAGTGGTATACACCACAGGATAAAAAGGTGACAAATAAACAATACCCACTTGATAAAAGAATAACTCAATTATTCAATAGTATTAAATGGTACATATAAAGCTATCGTTGCACATTTTGTTGTCGGTCACATATGTCTAGTGATTAGTGTTCACTGAAAGTAGTGGCCCCCTAAAAAGACACCTGCTTCGGTCTGGGCACCCGGGCAGTATCACAGCCCACACACAAATAAAATGAAAATTTGTGTTGTGCATAAATATTTGGTGCCCCCTTGTACCGATAATTATGTGTTCAAATAAATAAATAAATAAATAATTGAAATTAGTAGGCTCGATAGTTTGTTGCATTCTGAGTCTGCACAGACGAGGAATCCTCAAATAAGACGAAACGGCTATCCACCATTCTCTGACTATTATTACTTGTCAAACTAATATCATATCGCTATTATTGCACATTGTATGATTTGATAAATTTGTTTATCAAACTATAAAATGAGATAATTACCTTTAATTGTATGGATTCTACGTTGTACTTCATGATCTGATGATAACATTGGTGATGCAACTGTTGATGTTCCAGCTACAAAATTGTTATTTGTATTCAACGGATTACTGTTAGAATCAATTGAATGTGGTCGTTGTCCAGTAATTTTATTCAATGTAAATCGGTTGTTTTTCTTATCATATGAACGTGTTTCATCATAAATTACATAATCAATAGTTGTTGGATCTTTCACTCGAGGTACAGCAACAATGATATCAGTGTTAGAAACAATCGGTGTAGCAGCAGGAATAGAATTGTTGATTGTACTATCTATAGTACACACATTGGCATTAGCCGTCGTAACATTTATTATAGAATTATTATTATTCATTGAATTAGTATTATTTGATGGTACAGTTTGTGATGTGATCAAGTGTAATGAACTATATTGATCAGATTTTCGACTATTTATTGAATGTTCTGACACTTTCGAAAGATCAGAATCATCAGCAAATACTAACGAACTAATTGCTGAACTTGTTCCACTATGAAACGCACGTTGTTGATCACATTCTAAGAAGAAAATATAATTATGAACTGAAATCAATGACAAGTGACAATCATGTAAGTCGACACAATATTAGATTATATAAAGTGAACGAAGAAATCAGGTAGGGGAAGACTAATTTATTGTTTAGTGCGAACTTAAAGAGTTCCTTCTTACAATATGTAAACCACATATAAAATAAAGTACTTGCACATCTTCATTCAGTTGTCTTTCCCATGCTTCATGATTCTTTCAACTCTGTAGTTATAGCAATCGCTCTGTTTGCATTCCCGTTCTCTTCAATTCGATCTTCTCAATCATCTGCTGCCAGGCATTTCACTTCTAATTTGTGTTACATACTGCCAAATGAATTCTATATGTTTAGACAATTTACTTAAATTCTTATCAACGTTATTTACCAATTCTTCAAGATCATCATCATCATCGATGGTAATCAGAATAAAGGATACTCACATTGACAAAACTGTTATCCGATGAAATTTGTTATTCATGTGAATTTTGAAAGTTGATCAATTGAATGTTTTTTCCTAATAAAATGCCTTAACCAATTAAGTGAGGATTAAACTAAGTAGATAACCACAATTAGATTAATTCCTTTTTTTGTATTGGTTGATTGAATTTTGACATCGACGTTGAGAACTGTGATTGATCTATGTGTCTTATTGACTTATGTGCATACTATTTGTGAGGATAGCCTGAACATTGCCAGTAAGTCACAAGTATGATAATTAGAGATGGATGGTAGCTAGCAATGAAATCCATGATACACGTTCCATCGTACCATGGGACTCGTCAGCTGAATGTACTAATTACTCTGTATTAGGCTGCATCCTTCTATGAACTTGAATTAGTCTAACCTTGATATAATTTGTCTTTACTGAACAATTTACTAATCATCAAACTCTGCAATTTCATTGCAATTCTATAATCTATTCAAATAAAACACGTGATTATATATTGGGACATTCGATCAAGTGTGAAATGACGAAATAGTCAAAAAATCTTAACGTTTAGCAGCTACTGCAGATGTGCATATACACTTGAAATAAGAAACTAAATATATGAGGTGGTGGTTACAGTTAGTCGAAAATGAACCATAGACCTAGGTTTCGTGCTATTCGGCACTCGTCAGCATGGTGTACCTGTTATCTTGACGTAGCTGACTCTCCCTGTCCCACTTGATCCCCTGTCACCCAGCTCCGTAGTCAGAGATGTAACCATTGAGCTATCCACGCCGTGACTAATCCCCTTTTTTAGGACAGAGATGTATATACATTGATTGATCACTGGTTGGTTAGTGATCAATCTTAATTGGGTCAATTCCTCCTCAGTGCAGATCAAATTCTATCTATGACATTGTTCACTACCCAGTGATCAATCAAATGACTTCAGTTTTGTCAAAATTATATAATTCATCATAATTTCATTAACTGACTAATAGTTGTCATTCAATAATTTGAAATGAATACAGTTTACGAAGTATGTAAAATCATACGCTGTTGAGATTTAGTAGTGTTGATAAGTGATCGAAAAGTATGAGGCATTAACATGTGTACTACTTTTTCAAATGAATTAAATTCATAAAAATTAATATTAAAATATCTATCAGTAAAATCATGAACTGATGATCAATGTTAGACAACCATTGAAAACCTAAAAGCATTGAATGGCAATTTCATCCTAGTATGAAACCAGTCAGCAGAGCATATTCACAATCCTACGCTCAGGACTGTGACCTAGGACTTTTGGTCTCGCGCGCGAACGCCTAACTTCTAGATCAGAGATACTGAGGTCAACCGTATTTTACTTCTAAAGCATAAATAAAAGATGTTTTTGAGTTTGCAAATTTACCAATTAATGTTGAGGTTTAGAAACTGCCGACTGAATTTCATAGGTCTATAACTACGGTAACTATTAAAGAGTCAGTTTTTCAAGACATTAACCTAAAACAGAACTTCACGATACTAACTGCATACAAAAAAAATCAAAGCACATAAGTTTGGGGCTTTAACGGCTATCATGGTTAATTCAGTTTTAGGCGAATGAATTCTAATTCGACTAAGGATTATGATTACCTACACTTTGTAAACATCAAATTAAGTAACACAAAGTTTTTTAATTAGGTTGAGCAATAGATTGTTTTATCTAACTAATATCAATGGCTGACTACACCTGGAGCTCCTCCGGTTCCAAGCCCTCATAAAGAAGGAGGGTTGGGCATAGGGTTAGCGACCTTATCCCGAAGAAAACTAACGCGCTAAACAATCGCTAATATCAATGACTATTTTATATCACAGACTGACTTTTCTACTAAGCACACATTAAAAACGAGGAAATATTTGATAGCCATTTTAACTTAAAATAAAGCACTTCAACAATACTCGATCACGACTATTCTGGAAATCAAATCGAGTATCGTTGTATCATGCTGATCCCTAATTATTCAGTAGTCTAAACCCAGAATGAAACAGTTATGCCAGTATTTTTGATACTATGCAATAATCATCTATTCCATGATGGAAACCACCAAAATTTGTACAATCTCAACAAAATCTTCCATATATTAATCATTTAAAATTTATAGTATACTCTCATTTCTAATTTTGAACATCATCTTATGCCACTTACTATTTAATTTGATTAAATCACCATTTTCATTCAATCCTGTATCAAAATCTATATCATTATAATGATCAATATGATTGATTTTTTTTGTATTTATCAAATTTTCCGATTGTTTTTCTTGTTGTTGTCTTCGTTTCAATGAAACAGGTTCTAAATATGGATCAGTTGTTAAATATGGTAAATGATTTAATTCATCTTTTTCAATATAATCAAATTTATTATAATTCAATGAATTATTATACATTGAATTCGGTATCGTTTGTTTTACTGTCATTGAAGTAGAATTTAATTTAGTCAATAGATCATTCTTGACAATATTATTATTGTTATTATTACTATTACCCCCATTGTTATTGTTGCATAAATCAATCAATTCTGTGGATAGTAAAGAATCTATTCGACTACTTCCTTGTAAACTAGTTTTTGTTGTATTACGTGATAACATATCATTAATGGTAGTGTGTTCATCTCCACTACTATACATAGTATGATGATTTTGATGTTGATAAGTATCTTGATGAAATAATGATGGTTTTACTGTTTGAGTACTCCACATATTCTCGATATAATTATGTTTTATGTGTAAATCATTCGATTCTGTTAGTAGAATAAAGAGAGAAGAGGGACAAAACATAAAATGAAAAGATATAACTTATGCTTGTTCTGAGAATAAGAAAATGACCGAATTTTATAGTTTAAGACACGTACTGACCTGAGTAAAACATACAATGTAAACTAAGAAACACTGGAGAGACAGATGTTTTTTTTTATAGGTGAAAACTAAACAGTGAGGCTATAGAATCCCAAGAACCTGGGGTCTTGCGTTGAGTGCCTAATCAACTTTAATTTATAAACGATATAATAAACTGATGGTAGTTATCATAAAGAGAACTGGGGTGTTTCTACAGTGGACATATCCTTGACAGGATAATGTGAACTACTTCAAACGTGCTATAAGGCTTTAGTTAAATCCCTTTTAATTAGAGATATACTATGCAATATGGCTCCTAACCAAACACGCTGACTGGTTGTTTATTTCGTTACTGACTCGCTGCTATTGGTTTTTCTTAATCTAATTAATCGGTTCCAATGATTTCTTATGTTACGATAATAACGACAAGTTGTTTTTAACCTGTTTTAGAAATGCTGTTGGCTAAGAATATGAGCCACATTTCCGGCCTCATAAAACCTAAGTATTCATCTTTCACAAATTTTATGCGACCATTAACATGTGATGTACCAATCAAAGAAGTAGAGTGTATATCATTTACACTTCCTGGGTCATTTCACTTCATTCAATTCCAATTTCTCCTCCTGGGAAAGCAAAAAATTCAATACCATTTCAGTGAGATAATCATTAGAAAGTAGAGTATTGAACAATAATTTCATCTTAATATGTAACTTCTCAGTAGTGTGCATCCATGATCCGATTGCAAATTAAAGCCAAAACATTCAGATCTCGCAGCAGACGGCTAACCTCCACACAACCGCGTCGGAATCTAGTTATTTATATGCTTAACTTCACACTAATTCGAGACATTACGCAACCATTGGTCAGGGTCTCACCATCGACATAGTTTAATGCCACTTGCCACAGATTCTCACTGGATATCCCAAGAGTTACCTCTCCTAACGACTCCCAAGTGACCATATAATTATTATTATTAGCCCATGATATAATCCATGAGATTCAATAATCTGTCCGAACCTTCTACAGCAATAATTAAACATCAATTGAAAATGCAGGTCAACCAACATTGAACGCAAAGGGGATAACTACAATAGTTATTGTATGACTATTTTCAAGCAGTAAGAAATTTTAACCGAAAATGTTAAGGAAAACTATGTTACCTACCTGACATTGATTGCAAAGCTGGTTGCATCAACGGATGAGTAATATGACGACCATTTAATCGAAATGAATCAAAATGTTGTTTATTGACCGGAAAATGACTGGTCAACGGTACAATATTACCACTATTATTATTAATATTATTATTATTATTATTATTATTATTATTATTATTACTATTATTATTATTATTATTTGATGTAGTCAAATAATTAAATGTTGGTAATACTGGCATTGATGGCATCATCTCTGTACGTGATGTATTGAATGATGAAGACCTTAAAGATGATTTTTTATAAGATAACCCATAACTATTATTACTATTATTGTTATTATGATATCTTGGTGGTGTAAATGATCCATTACTTTGATTAAAACTACGAAAAAATGATGATAATCGTCGAATACCATTACTAAAACTATTTCTACTTGGTGGTGTAAATTTCCATGGTAAATCATTATCATTCACATTGATCCATGAAACAGATTGTATATTTGAATTAGTCTTGGGATAAATAGACGGTGATGTATTATCTCTATTACTATTATTATTATTACTTGGCAAATTGTTAGGATACTTTGTATAAATTGGTGAATTTGCTTGATCATCATTTGCGTATAAAGCGCTAACTATCCCAGAATTACTACCATTGTCTGTTGTTGTGGTCAACGTCTTTGTACTTTGTCGTGTTCTTTCACTCCCAGACCTTCCCGATCTTAAAAAAATATGATTGGAGTATGGATGTTGATGAATCAATTCTTCTTTGTTTGATAATGATGATGTTGATGATGGCGATGATGATATAGGTATCATAGGTAATGATGTTTCAGCGGTTGTTCCAAATCTTGACACATTATCATTGACTAACAGACCACTATTATTTGATGATGTCATTAAATGACGATTATTTGGTAATTGTGGAGTGGATTTTCCTAAAAAGCTACCAGATGATTCTAAAAGACCACGTTGAGATAATGACTGAATTTCTTGACGTCTTTGTAACTGTGTATATAATCGACGTTTTTTTCGCATACTTCTACGCCATGGTAACCACCATGAACGTGGCATACCATTCGGTGGATTCAATGACGAAAATAGAATTGTTTCACTAGATGCTCCAAATCTTGAATGGTTATTATTATTAGTAGTATTAGTGGTACTATTAGTATGATTAGTATTATGATTAAATGCAGAGGGAGCACCATGAGTGCTGCTAATATGAGATATGGAATTTGTCCGTAGCCATGGCAACGAATTCATAATCTGTCGACGATCTGAACTCGGTGTATTTGGTACTAATGTTAACGCTGAAATAGCAGTAGGAGTTTTTTGATTCCTTTTCATAAAAGAATTACGCCATGGTGGTAAATGACCATCTGTAATAAAGTCAATATTCGACGGTTTTCTATTCACACCTGAAGCAGTTGATGAATGAAGTAAAAATGTTTTTTGATGTTTTTGTTGTTGTGCTGTATTCGAAAAATCTGGGAAACTTTCATTGATTGTATTATGACTTAATAAATGTGGATAAGATTTGAAGAGATTTCCATTGGTGAAAATTGTGTGATTATGGTTGTTGTTGTTGTTACTATTATTATGAAATGACATGAGAGATTTTTTACAGGTTGGAAATAATAAAGTATCCTTAGATCTACTAAACGTTCCCAATGAACAGGAACCAAGACGATTTGACGATGAAATTGCAGCTAGATCAATAGTTTTATGATAGTGTTCAAATAATCTGAAAAGAAAAATACGATGAAGGATAATCTAAACGATTCTATATTAAAAAGTATAATGTGCATACGAAAACAGATTGGGACTAAAGTAAAGATGATTAATTTAACACGTGATATCAATCCAGTAATTTATTAGCGACTATTGATTTGAATTGTGTTAGTAGGCGGAGACTGTTCGAGTTAGTTGAAGACAGTCAATAGGAAATCTTCTTTGACCTAGGTTATGTGTTATATGGCACTCGCCAGTAAGAAATATATGTAATTTTGTAGGAAACTGATATTACTTGTGGGATTAAAACCAACTTCATAGTTAACAGAATTCCATCAACATTATAAGATTGCACAAATGCGATATTGGCTGCTACATAACAATCAGTCAGTTGTAAGTTGAATAAGGCTTAGTTAGGGTCAATAAGACAACCGTAACTAATGGTAATAAACATCAAGCGTCATGACATGAAATTGACTGCAGTGCCGCGAATCTTTATGATCTCTGTCATTTTTCGTATTGTTTTTTCATCAGATTCCCACTTACTTCTTCAGCTGTATCCTACAACATTTGTCCTTTGCTTACCAACAATCATATTATTGATAGTTTGGTAAATTTTGCTATTCATAGTGATAATCTTATTTGACTATGATAAAGTAAATGAACATTTAATGAAACAGAAATTGTTGGTAGAAGTTCATCACTGGCTAGGAAATGGTTGAAAAGTATATTTATTGTAGTCGGTGTTTAATGGAATCTTCTCAGGAAGTTCTGGAAAAACAATGCATTATGCATTATATCTTGGTTGGATGATTATCGACCTAGAAGCCCCTAAGATATTATGGTCACATATAAACCACAGAATTCAACTGTTCAGTCGAGACTTTTCACTTTTTGGTTTCTGCTTAACTGATAAGTATATGACATTTCTATATTGAGGGACTGGAAAGAGATTAGAAAAACAGTATAAATTGTTCAAGTATTAAATATATCAATAATAAATAGAGTCGGTAAATAAGTAATGTTAAAGTATTAAACTAGACATCCACTTATGTATATATACACTGACGAGTCAACCACTATACAACATTACTACCCACATCAATACACAAATATATATAATAAAAGACTTTAACTTACTTATGCCTTAGACTATAGACAACCAGAAGAGTGGCCAAAAGGAATATTAATATTCCAAGTATAGAGCCTAAGGCAACTAAAAATATATATATCAATAAACAGAAAAAAAGCTTTTATAAATATACATTTCAAAGAAATATAAATATTTTCTTTCAAATATTCAGTAAACATAAAAGAAACATGCACTATGAACTTTCAGATTCGAAACCATAAGTTTGGGACATGCTCACCTACTTTGTCGAATAAAATCAGATTGTAGTATCACTAGTCGTTATACATTTAGAGTAAGTTTTCAAATTAATTACAGAAATCTGTACTTGATAGTTAGTGAAAACGGAACACAGTTTACGTCCGTAATCTTCTCACAGTTTTGTCGGTAGAACGGAATCCATCACGTCCGAACACCTCCATTCCATCCCCAATCAAATGGTCAAGTGGAACGCTTTGTGAGTACATTTAAAAATGCTCTAAAAAAATCTAAAGGGGAGGGGACCACCAAAGAGATTCTAGAGAGGTTCCTGCTTATTTATCGCTCTACACCGAACCCTCAGACGATTAACGGGGTCTCTCCAGCAGAAGCTCTACTTGTAAGAAAAATAAGAACACATTTCGATGTCATCCGTCCTACGCCAGCTCTTGAGCCTCAACGAAACCTATCGATCAAGAATCAGATCGATCGACATCATGGGGTACAAAATCGATTGTTTACGGTGGGACAAAAAGTACTTGCTCTGGACTATCGTGAGAAACATCCTACATGGACAGTTGGTCGGATCTTGAAAAAGAAGGGGAGTGTGGTTTATGAGGTGTTAGTTGGCTCAGAAGTTTGAATAAGTCATGCTAACCAATTGAAAGCAACTTCTATAGCCAGCAACGAGATTCAATATCGATTACCTCTTGATGTTCTGCTAGACACCTTTGAAATCAAAACGCCTGGAACAGACAGGTCAGTTTCTGTGCAAGCAAAGAGTGATACTTCTTTATCGCCTAGACGATAGACAAATCGAAAGCACAGGCCAGTCACTGGGTTGCAGTTGGACCCTAGCACCAGATCCTACGAATCTGCTCAAAGGGGTGTTAGTGGGACATAGATTGGATTTAAGCATTCTCAATGCACGATTGCTGTGGCGCACGCTGATTGGCTGATTCTTATCCCATCAGCGCTAGTCGATACTTGGAGAAGACTCTAGAATCTTCTTATGTAAAAAAGTACAAATATACTAACGGTTTTCCTATCTTTGCTTCTTGCTTCCATCTAACCTAGATATTTGGAATATAATCACCTTCCTGTTCAACCGTGTTCTGATTTGGGGCCTTGTCGAGTGAATTGGTGTCCGTGAATACTAAGCAATAGGAATAGCTGGGTTATAACCGTAAGAGAGAGAATTATAACACAAGGTGAATAGGATACATATATAGTTTTGTACAAAATATAAAACTATTAAATATAAATAACTTCTCGGTAAATATGTACAGACACATATGATTACTTTAAAAACTGACCATACAAGGTAACATTCACATTACATAAAAACGAAGACATTTACATTGAAAATACCTGTAAATATTTTACGAATTATTGAAAAAAGAGGGTATAAAGTATATGAAAGAATAAAGTATTTCAATTATATTCATATTCATTGAAGATGGAAGAAAGACTAACAAGTTTGGTTCAAAACTGATGGAAAATAGGATTTAGATATAAATGGCGGTGTTAATTCTAAGAAAAAAATCTTTATTCGCAATGTTTGTGACACATTTCTTTACAACCTATTCTTCAAACTGACTTCGTTTTCACTTTACACGGTTCAGATCTGTTTGCGAATTAATATCATGAAAGCACCAAATAGTATGGTTAATCCATCTGTCGATCATAATAAAATCAATGATATATATATATATATATATATATATATATATATATTCAACTTTCTCAAAAACACAAGATCATTACAACAAATACAATTTTAGAAGTTTGACAAATAATGCATTCCTTAGGAGAACACACCTTTGAGATGTTGAAATAAAGAGTATCACTACTCTAAGGAACTAATGAGTTTAAACTTTGTATACTAATTAGTAGTATAAAACATAGAACGCAATTAAGTCAACATACATTAGGCACAAAAGAATAATAATAATGCAAGCATAAAAATGTTTTGAAGGTTAAATTCATTCAATGAAAAGAAACAGATATATTTGTATACAGTTATATGACATATACATGCCCTGGTATGGTGGAGACTGGGTAGAGTCAGCTCCCTCACTCGAAATGCTCTCATATGTTCGCGTGCATACAATGACTGCCTTTTCGTGGCATTATTGCTGTTTACGAAATTCAGAGGTCGAAAAGCGAATATCTAGGGCTTTCACTGGGTTGGTGGACACGAATGGTCTACCTAAGGGAGTCGGAAAACCCTGATTTAAAACCAATGGTGCACATGGGCTCAACTATCCCGAGGGAACAAATAGCGTATGAACTAACTGTTGGTCACCGGCTACCATGGGACTGCATCTCTTGACGTTGTTACACTGATTTGTAGATTTAACCTTCAGGTCGAAGGCTCCGGATGTGGCTTCTAAGAAGACCACCTGCTACGGTCTGCGCACCCGGGCAGTATCACAGCCCGCACTTAAATATAATGAAAATAATTACCGGAAATACTATTTTCCCCTCGATTAAAAGTCAGGCAATTCACATTCATTTTTTTTTATACTACGTCACTTACCTATTCTCTTTTATTCTCACTTTGTGTATTCTTATTTTTCAACTTCAACAGCAGATCGCTTATGGTGGAAACTTTTTTCTATCAAAATGATCTCCAGTCACTGAGTGGTCAAAAATTGACTGAAACGGCCGATTACGAATACCGAAATAGTCTTTATGAAACCACGTATACCATTGAAATTGGTTTCCTTCAACATTCACGCACTAATGAAGATCGGACAACAGATAGGGTTGAATATGTCCGTAGACAGTCTTAATATCGACGCATGTTGTCTACCCGAGACCCGTATTCAAGACTTTAGTGAAATAATACAAACTTGATCTCCGTCTTACGCTTCGGAAAGTTTGTTTAACATGCGGTTATCCGAGAGCCCTGTGGCATTTTCGTCTGGTTTTGCTAGCGTTCGTGTCGCATTTAAGCGTTAGAGCTGAGGCAGCACTGATTGACTGGATCCCGATTAACAGTAGATTATGTGCTGTTATATTAGAAAGTTACATCAAGGTAAGAAGTCGGTGTGAGAAACGATGTCTTTTAGTCATCTCTGCCTATGCTCCGACATACTGTAGTCCGGATACGACGATTTTTACCACCAGCTAACAGTTCTTCTACAGAAAGTGTGTTTGACAGATAGTGTGGTACCCGCCAGAGATCTGAATGCTCAGGTCAAGCGTCTAGACACAGAATAGAGTCATTTAAGTTGCCGATTGGGACTGTTGAGTAATGAAATTGAGCAAACCTTGCGCAAGGACCGAGAAGCCTGGTGGTCGAAGCGCGCTAATGAGCTGGAAGCAGCAACTGCATCTGTTAACTGCCGGAAGCTCTTCCAACTCATCCGACCCACTGGTAGCAAGGAGTTTGGTGTGAGCGGAACAATCTGTGAAGACGACGGGGTCCCAATCACTAACATTTATCGACGTCATGGATGATAGGCAGTTTTTCGAGGAGCAGTTCAACTGGTCTGCTGCCCCGGCAATATTGATCAGACTTTCCTGCCCTTCATAGACTGTGACGACCGATCCACTAAATGAGGCGGAAGTCCGAAAGGAACTCCAAATCCTGAAGCGCTACAAACCACCGGGCCCAGATGAATTACCTCCGGCCCATTTTAAAAATGGTGGCGACCTTCTGGTTAAGGAACTCATTACGTTGTTTACAAAGGTTCAGGAGTCAGGGATTGTTCAAATATCGTGAAATTAGTTGATAATTGTCCCTATCTTTAAAAAGGGTTCACGTCGCCTCTGTAACAACTAACGAGAAACCTGACCTCTCCGAGTTGAAGGTATTAGACGGCTCTTTGTGTTTGATCGTCGTTGTCTCCGAAGCACTGCTGACATCCAGTGGCAACAGCTTGTTAGTAATGCAGAGGTTCAGCATCATGTGTTCGGGTACAGCGACAATAATTCAGTTGGTGTCACTATCTTGAAATGTCGACTTCGGTTACTTGGACATGTTCTACGAATGTCGTCCCAGAGAATTCGACGTCGTGCATTATTTGCCGACGCTGGAACAGGTCGGAAAAAGTGGAGAGGTGGTCAGTGTATGACATAGTGTCGGGGTATGAAAGAAAGCTGTACAACAATGGCTTATGTCGGTCCTTCACAACCTGGTTAGGGGCCCTTGAGATGGTTCAACACAGTGACGAGAGAGGTTATCAGATATGGCTCAGAATAGAAGCCAATGGCGATCCTGCTGAAACTTTAATCTACTTTCTTCATAAAAATAACATAACGTCTCTGTGGCTGTACTTTTGCTTATTGAACTGTCTCTTCCATTATTATCACTTCATTAAACTATACTTTTTTTTTTCGTTATTGTTCCTTTTTTCTTATACGCACCTTAAATTCTTTATCTCTTCACATTCTCATTATTATTGTGAGATGTATATGTATCTGGTGCCCCTTAGTACCAATACTTATACGTTCAAATAAATAAATAAAATAAGTATACATGCTGGATATGAATGAACGTGCATTCGTCTACTATTTTTAGTCTAATGAATCAACATTCACATGGAAGACCTCCCCGATTCACATCTTTACTCAATAAATGTTAATATTTTTATAAGATAAATTAACTAAGCCAATATATTAAAAAAAACAGTTATTCTATGACTAACCAATTACTAGAAACCGAAAAACATTTAACACAAATAACTGTGACTATCAGGATTCAGTAGCTAAGTAGATAATGTGATAGCGTTTGAAGAGATTCCACTACCAGTCACTATCCACCTTTGCATATAATTGTAGTTTAAAACAATTGTCGACAGTGATCATTCATGACTTATTTAATTGTTTGAACAGAGTCTTGTACACTGGTGAAAATTATAAAATTTAGCATTCTAACT